GACTCCGGGACTAGCCGTGGCAGAGCATCCCAAGACTCTGGTGGCAGCCGTGGCAGAAAAACCCAAGACTCCCATGGCAGCCGTGGCAGAAAAACCCAAGAGGGCACCAGGAACACCACACAAACCCGAGCCAGGGGCAGCACACACACGGCCAGAACGAACAATACTCACAAGACCCAAATGACTCATGGCACCGTGCTCACTGGAAAGTCCGCGCTCACCGTCCGCACCGCCATCACTGCGCGAACGCAGATGACCAGCGGGACGCAGGCTACCGTGTTGTCGCGGATCACGTCTTTGGTCAGCTTGAAGGAGTCCGAAGACTGGTTTGACGGTGGAGACTGGCACCTTTTCATTCCTTTTCCCCATCGGTTTGGGCTTTTGAAGGCACGGAAGAGGTTCATTTTTGGTGGGATGGGGCAGCCTTCCTTTGCTTTTTGAGTCCAGTGCTTTTGATGACGTGCCCAGCGGATCCAGTTACCACTATAGCCTAATAGCTGGTAACCAGTGGTTCCAAAGACTAAAACCATAGACCGAACGAATCCCTGGTTCCTTAGTACTCCTGGTAACTGGGATCCACTGGGCATGATACTTTCTTCTATTTTTTTCCAGACAAAAGGCTAGTGGACCTTCCCAGATCGCGCTTCCCTCAGTCGATCCACCGATCGGGCACCGGGGCGCGTGACCGCGGACTGGCATGGGACCCTGGCGGGACTGGTGGTGCTGGTGGTTGCGTCCGACCTTTTCTCTACCCAGCCTACTCTCTTCCAGTGTAGGTCAGGAAGTCGCTGCACACCCGGACATGTCGGACCGAATATCCGGCTGTTGGAACATGCTTGCTTCCAATGGAATTGGTGCACAAGAGGTAGAGCTGTCATGAGCTGTTTGCAGAGGCTGTCCTTTCCCGGAAGCAGTTCGGAGTTTGAATCCTATCAAACACTTGCTTTGGGTAATTCTGAAAAGCCCTTTCAGGTTCTCGGTTGCGTTTATTTTTTCTTTTTGCGTGTTTGACTTCGACATCTTTGTTGGATGTTGTTCGACATCGTTTTGCGTCGTTTTTTGCACTCGCCACACCCCCGTCCGCCCCGCTATCAGCGCGAGGACTCGGATACCTTTCAACACCACTTCGCCGCCAACAGCAATCTACGCGAGACCATCGCACAGCGCCGAGGCCTGCGCGCACCGGCGGAGAGCGACGACGAGGAGGAGGAGGAGGAGAAGTCGACCTCCGTTCCGAAGGCCAGCGGCGGCCGCTCTGCGTCTTGGTTGGGGGACAGCTGCGGCAGCGGTTCCTTTTTTGCAGCAAGGTCTTTGGGTCATGATGCCTTCTGCAGAATGAGGCCAACCCTTCTGCAGACGACCAGTGGTTTTTTTTTCCCTCCATGGGACCCGAAGACCCTGCGACCAAAACTTCCGAAGACCCACCGAGTGGGGACTGAGTGGGGATGCAATAGTACTCCAGCAAACCGATGAAGAGTTGGATCTTCGGTGTGGCTCGAATCGATGACGTGGGTCGCTGCGACGCGGGTCGGAGGGACTGAGCGACTGAAGGGACTTGGGTCTCCTGTCAGACGTTGATGTGGAGGATCCATCAAGTAGCAATATTCGGATATATTCGGAGTACTTCCACATTCATTCTACTTGAGGTAAACCTCTTTGACCGAAGAAAAGCCACAGGAACTGTTTTTTTTTCGGGGTACCAACAGTGCACTGTGTGCAGATGCGCAGAACGACCACGGCCCGTGCCGGACCGTGCAGGATTTGCGATTTCCCTTGCTCTTGTGCGTGATGTGTTGCTTCAACAACACGGGGAGCTATGTCATTGAGTTCGGGACTTTTGCAATCTTCTTCAAGGACCAGAGTGAACGCATGTGTTGCTTGAACGCTGCACGCCTCAAACACATGAGGGAGGCTGTGAAAAACCTGCCACTCAAACACCTTGAAGCATCCCGAATAAGTATTTGGGCTTGATTAGTTGAATGGATCAAGAAGCACCTTAGAAATCACCCACCCCGACTACTGCACACCGGTGGCACCAGCATCCCAGCCATCTCGACCTGCGCCAAAACGCTGCATGTCGAGGACTATCATGGCTGGGAGTCTGCGACCTGGGCGAGCCTGGCGCAGACGGCAGGAGATTTGGTGGCTGCAGTGATGATGAAGGTCCTCAGGAGCGATGTGGAGGAGGAGCCACCGTTCCACGCGTTCCAACACACGCGCGTGAACGCGTTGGGGGGCAGTGGGGGAAGTGGCTGGCATGGCTCTTTTGATGTTTGGACCCTGGGATTGATCCAAGGGTCTTTTTCTAGACCCCCAAATAGAGAGAAGTTCGATTGCCCACTAAAAAGGTATTGAACAGCGTGCCACTCTCTATTTGGGGGCTAGGGGGATGTGGGCCAATGTGGGGCCCATGTGAACTGCCCAATCGACCGCCGACGACTCGCGCCTTAACTTTGGGCGACCCCCTTGCGGCCCTTGGTCTCGAAGTGGACGGTGTACGGATTCGTTGGATTCGTTGACGTCGCCTTTTGGATCCCCAATTTGGATGCGTGAGAGTCGACGGATTCGGCCATGTCCGTCGGACGCACATGAGGTCTTGGAGGTCGGCCCTCTCGGTTGGCAGTGCGCGTAGCGTGGGAGGTGGACGGACTCTCACACGGCGTGGTGTGGTCCCCGAACAGATAGATGTGGCGCGCCGAACTGCTTGGTGTGGGAAGGTCTCCAGGTTTTGGTTCTTCTCCAGGTGTTTTTTCTCCTCCTGGGAGTGTTTTGGCTGCCCCACGCGGTGGGGAAGAGCGGGCTTGAAAAGAAGAACCACACGAGCGAGCGACGCATTCGGCGGAGGCCGAGAATGTGAGTTGCCTGCGGCGGATGATTCTGCAGCCCTACAACATCGCCTGTCTTCTCTTCGGCTGGGTGCTCTGCAACTTGGGGATGGTGAGTCCCTTGTTGCCCATCGCAGTGACGGCGCAGATCATCATGGGCACGCTCTATGTCTACACCATCAAGATGACGACGGATCTGAATCTCTTCTATTCCATGGGAGATACAGCGCTCTTTGTGAAACTCCAGGGCTTTTGCAGCTCAGCTTTTATTGTGCTGGTGTGGCTACTGAACGATGAAGATTACGAACCCCTGCTGCTAGCATGGTTTGGGATGCCAAAGGCATGCTGACGAGGCTTTTGTGTTTTTTCATCCGTCACCTCAATTAATTAGCTGAGAAAGACTGATATATAGATGGTGCAAACCCTGAAGGAGAAAGTGATGGTGAGCCAGTAGTAAAGAGTGGCTCACAAAATCAAGACCCTAACATGATTCCGTTGAGATGACAGCAGGCCTTTTTCACCTTCAGGCCACTATAGGCTTCCTTCCTTGAAAACACTGCCACTTCTAACTTCCACCATGAGGGTTGCTCTCTTGTGGGCTATGTTGCTCTCTCTTGCCGGGGTTTTCCGGTTTTTCATTTCTCGAACTCCGGTATGTCGATCTTCGCTGGCGCGATCTTCGCCGGGCGCAGTGATGCCATCCATGCTGCGTGGTGTACACCACACCGCTGTGTCCGAGGCAAAAACGCGGAAGCCCTGGGCGGCGGCATTGCAAGCCTTTTGGCGTCAGAGCGTGTGGTCATATGGGATGCAAATACCCGCAGTGGAAAAGGACACGGACACGGACACGAGAAGGATTGTATCCTTCAATCTTTCAAGTTCTTGACATCTCATCGTTCTCAACATAGATGACTAGCTCTTGCCTTCTTTGGTCAGGGTCTGTGGACAGCAAAGTCTCAATGCTTGTTCGAAGTCTCAAGAACGCACCACGATTTGCCGAACCAGACGTCAGGTGTCTTTCGCCAGCTGAAGCAGATGCGTGGGGTTGGTGTCGAGCGACGGTCGGCTGTCCTCATGATCCAAACTGAAAGGGTCGATGTATGACCTGTTCTTAGTCGAAGTTTTACATGCAAAACCAGGCCCACTGAGGTCATGCCTTCGGTCATGTTCGTTGCCCATCGGTGATTTCATTTACGTACCGCACCTTTGGACGAAGCCGCACCTTCGACATCGCATCGCCAATCTTGATGTCACCGATGCGGTTTGTGTTCTTCGAACCGAAACGAACACCTTAAAAAGCGACGTCCGAAAGCGCGTTGCATGCAATGATTATTCACTGTTCACTCGGACGGAGGTCCCATCATGAAAAGAGAGACAGGTAGGAATTCCTTTTTCTTTGAAGAGGAGTACACCTTCCGACTTCCTTTTTGTTGCAAAGAGTTGGAGTTCAACCGCCTTTCCAAGAGATTCCTTATCACTGTTCTTTGCAAAGAGTTGGAGTTCAACCGCCTTTCCAAGAGATTCCTTATCACTGTTCTTTGCAAAGAGTTGGAGTTCAACCGCCTAAAGAGATTTTGGAGACTTTTGGAGAGATCTTTCTTCGTGCACAGGTCATCCGTCTACTTCTCAAGTCTCCTTTCATCGGCCAGACCGGGCGGTTCTCTGGAAATGGGGTCAAATTCGGCCCCCAAAAGCCACACACAACAAAAGCAACTCTGAAGTTTAGAACACCAAAAGCAACTTATCAAGCAACTTATAAGCAGTTTAGAACACTTCCAGCAACACTGAATTCTGTCGACCCTTCGGATGTCTGTTTATAAGGGTCGGCCAGGGCGTCGCTTTGGGCGCTGAAGGCTGGATCGGCCCTTTCTTGTACGCCACGGTGAACCCCTTCTTTCCTTTCATCGTGAGCACTTGCATGTCTTTGCTGGCCTTCTTACTCTTCACAGCAGGCGAACTGGGCGGGCTTTTTTTAATGAGTCATTCGGTTTCTGGAAGTCATGATTTTCTCACAGCGTTAGAACGGTTCCGTAGGACCAGGACTCCGAAGGGGTGGAGGACCAGGACACTCGGAAGGGGTGGAAGTCCTGGGATGGGCAGTTGGTCGAGCTCGACACGACCGATCGGTCAGCCGGGAAGGCTTTGGCCATCGCGTGGGCTGTCTGGACATCGACAGTGCGGAGGAGCAGCGGAGCCAACGCTTGGGCAAGAAGCGTGTGAGCCGGTGGAGCGTGGCGAGTCGCAAGTCGACAGCGGCTTGGACGCAGCAAGTCGAAGCTCCGGGGACATGCAGAAAGAATTGAAGCACCAGCGCCCAGGAAGGAGTGGTGATTGGAACATACTGGTCCGATCCGTCAGGGGTGTCCATGGTGACGTGCGAACTGGGTGGTGCAGGAGCTTCCGGAACAGAGACGAGGGGCTTTTCGTCATAAGTAGAAGTGGCTGTGGAGGCGCACATGAACGGTTTCCGTTCTCCAGCATGGTCTACCAGGGTGACCTGAGGTCAGGTCGAGGGGACCCCTGCCGTCCCTGGGTGCTCTGCCTGGGTGCCTGGGTGTGCCAAGGGTCCGGTGGCGCGTGCCCTTCGGCAGGTGTGGACAGCGCAGGGACAGAAATGCGGGGCACCAATGAATTGCGGGAAGCCGATGGTTTCACCGGACAGTGTTGCAATAGAATAGATTCTGAATAGATGTTAAGTTAAGTGCATCGCTACTAGTAACAAGTGCACCGCTACTAGTAACAAGTGCACCGCTACTAGTAACAAGTGCATCGCTACTAGTAACTAGTATGAGTTACATGCTTCTGACATCGTTTGCTGTGGGGGTTTTCTCCACAATAGCTCGCCCTGTCTTTTCGCCCTGTCCGGGCCTTGTCCCCCTCTTGTCTTTCCATTTCTCCACTTCCTTGTCCGCGGTTGTTTTCTTGCTGGATGAGCTTGAGCTGGTGTAGCTGCTCGAGGAACTTTGCCTTTGCTTTTGGTTTCACCTGCAGCTTAGAGTGAAGATCTTGAAGCGCCACATGAACACTTAGTTTATACACAAACCCTTGTAACAAAACACTCAAACATGATCATCTGACTATAGAATTTGATATGATATCATCCTGTTCCCAAAAGAGTGCTTTTGTTTACATGATGTTCCCAAACAACCGGGCGCCATAAGAATACCAAATTGCAGGCGTTTCCACCAACAAAGAAGTCTTGCTGAATTTGTCTGGGGTCTTTGCTGCTATAGTCAAAAAGCATGTGCCGCTTCTCATGACACTTGGCGAACCGAGGTTGTAATGCCTGAAATAGAACTGGAGGAGAGCTAATGCAGCGCTCAGTGCAAACTGCGGCAGGTTGTTGTTGGAGGCCAGGTGTGCCCCTTCCATCTGTCAATGTGTAAAAAGACCATTCTTTTGGAGATTTATCGTTCCAATTTTAGCTGGGGTGACACTGCAAAGGTATGTGACTCTAGGAGAAACTTGGTACATGTAAAACAGTCTGCAGATTGCTGAGTTCTTTTCGTGTGCCACCACCTGTTCTTTGCAGCAAGGAGGGGCGCAAGGTTCCAGTCAGGTGGTGGACGCCGAGCCGTTTTTGAAGTAAAACTTAAGACGCCTGCGGTGAAACCGCGAGCTGACCAGACTCTGTCGTCCTTGGACGGAGGTTAGAGGTCCACCGTGAGAGGAATCGACCTTTTGGTTGTGAAAGCACTTTCGCTGAGGTCACGCGGCACGCGTTTCGTAGATGATTCCCGGATTTCACCCTTTTAGCAGTGAACCTGTCATGTCCTGTTGATAAGGGTAAGGACTGTAACATCGAAAGAGGGTGGGGCTCCCGTGTTGAATCAGCCGTGAATCGGGGAGTGTTGGATCAGCCTCCAGATCGCCTCTCTTTTATCGAAGAAACCGAGGAAGGCAGCTTGCTCGAAGGGATCAAAGGCATTCGAAGGGCATTCGAACGACCGAATTCTGTTTTTCCAGTACAGTGTGGGTCTATGTCTCGGCCAGACATCATGACATCCATCCTTCCAAAAGATACCAGTTCTTCGTTTGATAGCAGGCACCCCCAGCAAAGGGCGCTCCAATTGCTCTGGGAGCCCACAAGGGTTATCAAAGAGCTTTGAGCGAAATGGCACAGGCCATGGAGAAAGCATCAGACCATGAAATGGATAGAGATGTTGGCCTGTGGCTAAAGCTTCAAATCGTGTTTCGGAGCTCGACCCATCTCGTTGATCATCTTCAAGCAGCAAGAACTTCCAAGTGCACTTTTGTGCCCAAATTGCCACAGCAAGTGGCACTCCTTCGCGAATATGTGAGATCCGTCCAAAAGCCTTGCCACTCTGCGTGGGGAGGTCTTTTGGTTTTCACTATTTTTTGTGTGAGCATTGAACACCGATGAGGAGAACCCAAACCAAATGCCTGCCTGTTTTGGGGATCATATCAAGATCTGTGTCTTCGAAGTGGGTTTTGCTCTATGGAACATGCTTGTAGGTGCCTGGTTTTTCCACTACTACCAGTCACCCTACTACAGGTACTACTCCTTTCCTACTACTGCTACTGCTACTACGGCTGCCGCTACTACTACTACTACTGCTGCTACTGCTACTGCTAACTGCTAACTGCTAACTGCCTACTACTACTACTACTACTACTCCTCCTGCTGCTGCTGCTGCTGCTACTGCTACTGCTACTGCTACTGCTACGCAGGGGATAACCCCTCTCATAAAACGTTTTATGACCTCCCCCCTGGAGGAGGTCAGGGGGGTCAATTTATAGAGAAAACTGTATGTACAGAGCCTCATGATAGAAACCAGATGCTTGTCTTGAAACCTGGATGATGGCTCAATCTTCGCTGAAGATGTTTCAAGATGAACAGAACTCACATGAACTCATATGAACGCTGTTGAAGCTTCAAACTGATGTGGACATGACGTTGGGTAGGGTCAATTTATATAAACATGGTTTCCATTCTATACACCTGACAGGGTCCTATCTGACAGTTTATCTCTAGAAAACGGGTGGTGGGACTCCCAATCTGGAACGGACAGGGGGATACAACAACTATTTCAACTACCAGTACTACTGGTACTCCTGGTAGTGCTAGTGCTAGTGCGTACTTGCTAGTGCGCACTAGTGCTACTAAAAGTGCTGCTACAAAGGCTACTTCTGCTGCTATTGTTGCTACTGCCATTGCTACTGCAGCTACTCTCTGATGTTTTTTCTCATTGTTTCTAGATTCGCCAAGGGTGCTTTGGATGATAGCCTGATCCATGCCTTGACACATGCCACAAAGGAATATCATGCATTTTGTAGGGTATCTAGGTTTTTTTGAAGGCCTCCAGAAGAAATGCTCGTCAAAGCGATTCAGATCATAATGTGAACTTGCGAAAAGGATCGTTGTTGTGCTGCTGACGTCTTTGGAGACGTCGCATTTCATGTGTTGTTGCACCATCAACGATTTGAAAAGACACGCAAGACTGCTGCAAGAATCGTGGATGGACCTCACGCTGATTGGGTTGCTCCAGACTCCAGTCACTCGGTGTACTTGCCGACCGTGGCACCGAAGGGAGCGCAGATGCTCCTCGCACCGAATTTTTTGCTAGTGCATTTTCCCTGCCGCTGTCCTTCTCGTCCCGAAAGGCCGTTGAAAACAGGCCTTTTTCCCTTGTTCTTGTAAATATATGGCGGTCCAGAGCAAGGCCTGAGACTTCGTAGGGAATTCTTCGGGACAAGAAGAAGCGCTGCCGCGAGGTTCGACTCGGAAATGGCCCTACCTCCCGAACCGATGTTTTGCATTTGTTCTGGAAGGGTTTCCAGTATGAAGGACACCTGAGAGCTTGCGGTAGGTGATCATTCAACGGTCAGCCTTACTCAGAGGGGGACTGTGACAGATTCACTTGAAAAAGTAGTTATTGTGAGGACATTTATGGAAAGTTTGATCCTACCAAAAGACCGCCAGCTTTCTAAGGCGTTTTAGCAGCAAGACTTTTTCCATGATGAACGTTTGCTTAACGGGGTGGCAGCCTTTGGATTGGGATGCCGGTCGGCCCAGCCAACCAAATGATATTTTTTTGCGAAAACGTCCGGTGATACACAACGTGGGTGTGGCCCCCACCCAATTGCCCAAAGTACTCTGGGATATAACTATACTAGTACCAGGTCGTGACTTGGTGAGGGTTGGCGGTTGGCCCCAACTGGTGTGGTTGTTGGGGAGCACATCCGGTCTTGCTTGCTGCCTTCTTTTTCAATCGAGTCGTCTTGGCTTCAGAGTCCCCACGGTCACCATGCACTTCACTATGCCACCGAATCGAGGCTTCTGTGTCTTCCGCATTCCGACCCACATCCGTCCCTCCTGTTTCAGCTGGAACCGGATGTGAGCCGCACGTCAGTGAACCGCACGTCAGTGAATCGCCCACCGGCACCGGCACTTTCCCCCACGAACCGCCCGACCACGCTGATGCTTTAGTGCACGCGACCTCCAATGCGACGTCATGCCGTTGGTGGCTCCTACGCAGCGAAAGGCTTACACGGTCGAGGAGGCGACACCGGCGTCCGAGACGCCGCTGCGGAGGAGGAACCGCGTTGGGAGGAACTTCTTTGGGAAGCCCAGTTTTCTGGAGAAAGCCAGCGTAGACAGTAGTGTGTGATGACGAACAGTCATCACATGATGAGTCCGACCATGTTTGATCATGTCCGTCACGGGACTTTTCGGGTGAATTCCTGGATGAATGGGGGACGCTTGCTCAAGCGCAACCGCGTTTTCTTGTTTTCTTCCAACCCTTGCAGCTGTTCAACGGGTTGAAGACTCTGCGCGTAGGTGGCGAAGCACAACACCGCTGCCTCGCTATGGGTGATCATGAACCGCAAGGCGAGGGAAGTGTTGCGGGGACGTCCGAGAGGAGCCCCGACGAGAGCCGCGCTCTCGGAGACCTCGATGAGGTCCCCAGCGAAGGTCAATGATGGAACCAGCGTGACCGCGTGACTCCGCGTAGAGCAAAACAGGACTCGGTGATGACTCTTGTAGACTCTTGATGACTGGCCCTCCAAAGACATGGAAGAAGAAACACCGGCTTGGAGGGTTCGTGGAAAACACACCTTTCGTGAGCCTACCAAATTGGACCAAGAGAGGTTGAACAGCCTTAGGGCGCCCATCCCATATGTACCACTACAGGGTCTTATATATATAGGGTATATATATATATTATATATATGGTCTCTCAACCTCTCTTGGCTCTTTTCGCGTGGTGTTCCGGGGGGGTTTCAGGAGCCGCTGCGCCCCCTCCGACCCGACCGAGCAACCGAGCGACCGGCGAAGCCAAGGGGGTGGGGTGTCACTTGTCTTTCCGGTGGGACGGGGGGTATTTTGGGTGTGTTTGGAGCGCACCCGGTTTGGAGCGCACCCGTTTCCTTTTGGTTGGGGGGGGATGTTTTTAGTTTCGTCTCCAACATGCGGTGGGTTTGGAGGCTCCAAAGTGGTAAAGACCCATGAAAACAAATCCCTAGAGGTCAGGAGTCAGGGAGTCATCATGAACGACTGGCAGTCGGTCACACACGTCAGTTAGTATATACTCACTATATACTCGCTACCTAACTCTATTTTTGACGGACAGCCAGGTGGTTCTTGTTCGGGACCAGGTGGACTTGGGTCCGACTGTACTTGTACCAGGGGCCCCACAAACCATCCAAAACCCCCGGTTTTCCCTAGCAAAACACATGGTGTTTGTATGTGAAAACCTTGGTTTTTCCTGGTTTGGTGACCAGGCCCCTGGGAGGGAATGCTTGGACGACTGGTGGGCGTGACGGAGGTCTATGATGTGACCGCCTTCCACAAGAAGCATCCGGGCGGTGCAGGCATGGGTCGACATGCTGCGTGGGTGCTGCGTCGGTGCGAAAGAGGTGTGTTTTTTCGGAGGAATGATGGAGCAAAGGTGGGCCATTGAGGACATGTGGGAAGTTTGTTGAATAAATCCTGGGTGTCAAGATCTAGCACGATGCCTTAAGTCTTTCGCGCACAGATTTCCCTTTTGGAACTGATTCCTTTGGGAGGTACATGTGGGAGGATGGTTGGATAATCTGGATGTTGTTCAGAAGATGTTGAGGTATTGGGCTTTCAACATACTTAGCACTGTTCCTTGACATCCTTAGACTGTTCCGTGATTTTGAACCATGTCGTTTTACCGATTCGCTGTGTTTGGATCAGGGAAGCAGGTCCGGTGGGACCAGACATGGGGGGTGGTCTAGGGAGTCCGGGGAAAGCCGGAGGGTCCGCTTGACTCATACTTCTCACTGCCTCCTCGAATTGTTGGTCAAGCGAGTTGGTCATCGATGCATTGGTTTCGTCCAGTCCGAGCATCGGTTTTGCCCGAGAAAACGAAGAAGGGTGGATTCAGGCGTAGCGCCACCTCCGCCACGGAAAAAGGGTCCGGTGTTTATGTCAAACAGGGTGATGTTTTTGACTTTTTTGACCACCTAAATAGCCAGAAAAGCATGGGCCACCGTTTCGATCTACTTGGGGACCACCAAAGGGAAACCTCCCAGGAAGGTTCAGGAAATAGACACAGTCTACCCGTTGGGGGAAAAATCATGTATCCACCTCCAAAAAGAACACAGCATCCGACTTCACAGGTCACCACCTACCACTTTGAAGTCTCCAAAAGCAACGCTTTCGGAGACCTGTAGAGTTGGGTGCCCAAAAATACACACCCAGCCTCTCTGTCCCTCTACCTTCAGCCTGAAGGGGCCCCAAGGATGTGAGCTGGCAAGGCCATGTGCCTGGGTTTGTCCGAACTTACCTGCAACAGTCCGAAATATATCAAAAACACATCGTTTCTTTAAACTCCATTTTTTCTAATGGCAATGGCCTGCAACCTAGAAGCAATGGCCTCGAACCTAATAGCGATGGCCTCCAACCTAATGGCGATGGTTCTGTCCCAGATGGCCAAGCAAATCACTATTCAACAAGGCCTGCAACCAGGCCCCATCATCTGGGCCCAGGTAGGATAGACCCATCATCCCATGTGGAACGGGGTCTTCAGAAGGCAGGGAACTAGGCTTAGCCGTGCCGCATTGCCGTGCCCCACGAGGAGTTCTTCTGCAGATGGGCGGCAAGGAGCATAGATCCGAAGAGGATGTTTGAGAAGGTGGAAACGGACTCCAACCTTAGCTGCTTCGAATCTTCTTTGTTCTTCCGTTCTGAATCCCACACCTTCCCCAGCTCAACATGTTGGGCTGACGGACTTGGACACTCCCAATCGCTGCGCTCAAAAGAAAAACCATGAAAGAAGTCTGGTCGATGGGCTTCTTTAATAACGACTGACTCATCAGGCACCCTTCCTTAACTGCGAAGGATTTTCCGTCCCAACAGAGGGTAGCCAGGTGACCTGAACGTTCGGACCCGGAAAACCTGGGGCACCGAGCTAGGATAGTCTAGTTCGTTCAACCTCTGCTGGTCCTTTGGGTCCGCTGGTCCAGTGTCCACCTGGGAATCGCTTCCGTCAGGTTCCGCCAGGTTCCGCCAGCAGAGAAAATAGACATCGTTCCCAACAGAGGTGGGTCAGGACCCGAACTAGGCTATCCCAGTTCGGTACCCCTGGTTACGTGTCCTAGTTTAGGTCACTATCCACCTTTGTTGGGAAGACTTCCTCTTTCTTGATTGAAACAGAGCCGGGTCGGAGCCGGGTCGGAGCCGGGTCGGAGCTCCGTTGGAGCCGCACGATCGCCCTTCAGCCGGTCGAACGTCCCGCGGGTTGGCACGGTTGGCTGTTCACCCAGATGACTTGTAGTGTAAAGTCCGACAGTAAAACAGATGGTTGTTTGGGATTCAGACCATTAAAGCCAGTGATTGTTGCTATCCCCGCATGTCATCGGTAGATACCTCAGCCATATTTATGCATTCCAGACCGCGGTGGGGCGGTCCGCCGCCGGACCCGCAGGATGCGACGGCGGCCGCGGCGGCCGCACATAAGAGCATCCTGCCCGCGAATCTCATGTGGGAGTTTTGTATCGGCCACATTGTGAGGCGCGAGGTTTTCGGATGACCATGGGAGGGAGGTTGCGTGGGTGGGACGGTGACGAGATGCGCATGTTGGTGACGGTGTCTTGGAACCAAAAAGGAGTTGGGAGAATGGACCAAATCAGATCGGTTTGGTAAACTCTTTAATACCACCCAGAAGTCCAAGACGATTGATTGTTGAAAAGACCAATTCTTCAACCGTCCACCAGGACCTTCCAAGAGGTGGTTTTTTGACACCCCTTAACCATCCTTAACCTCTAAGAGGCTATGTATAGACACCTCGACTGGAAGGTCCTGGTACTGTTGATGCAATCCCTCTGGGAGTCCAGGAAAGACCCATTTGTAAAATAGTCTGACGAGTTCGGTGATGGACTGGAGTTTCCTGAAACCGGTGCCCACTTCGGTGCCCAAAATCATCGATGCCCCAAAGACTTCGTTTCCCGGACTGTCTCAGAAAAACACTCCGGGTCCGAAGACCTGCAGGATCTTGAGACCAACCGCCCCGACGGTCACCATGCGCCACCGCCACCGAACCCGAACCCGCATAGGGTGAAGCCGCCCGACGAGGTCAAGAAGGCGCCGCGCCGCGTGGCGAAACGCACGTGGCACGTGGCGCGTTCGTGCCCGGGTCGGCCCTGCGGTTCCTCGAAACGAAGACTGAAACATCGGTTCGGTGGTGGGATTCCGTGGGCCGGGCATGAATTGACATGCCATTTCCCTAGAAGTCCAGTTCGACTCTTTTCGGCACCACCCCAGTAAAGGAAGGCTCGGATCACATTGTAGATCACCTTCAGACCGTTTTAACTTTCAGGGATTTTCAATGGGCTAAAGCCATACTCTGTACCAAAAGGACCCATGGTCCGTTGGACGGATTTGGACCAGCACCGTCGGTCGTTCGCTCCGGACGTCGGACCCTCCGCGGAACGTCGTGTGGCGCTTTCAGCCGGCCCTGCCGGTCGGGACGGATGGGATCTCAACCGAAAAAAGGGGACGTCCGGGACGAAACAGGGCATGCCTACAGAGGTAGCCAGTGACCGTAAATAGGACCCGTAACCTGGGGACCGGACTGGGATAGTCTAGTTCGGGTCCTGACCCACCTCTGTTGGTGTCTTTGAATTGTGGAGGAAACAGTCAGTCTTAAAGGTTTTGAGTCCCATCCAACAACCAAACGGATGTGGATGTGGTTGTGGAATCCGTCAACGCGGGGGGGGGGGGCGAATCGGGCATGCGAACTCGGCCCCGTTCTGCTGCACAAGCTTCGAAGTGAACAAAAGTCAAGGCAAAAGTCACGACTGGATGTGCTGGGTGTTTTTGAACAGAAAAAAAGACACAGAGCAACCAACAGTTGTTGTTCTTACTCACCAACATCTCCAAAAGAAAGACCTATGTCATTTGAGTCATATGGGAACTGTTTGCTGATTTCGAAGCCTTTCTGAGGCGCACAGGAACTCCAATGTTGCACATGCGAAGCACATATAGGACTTGAGTGTGACTGGACCTGGATTGGCCCGAGAATTCTTTGTAATGGAGTGCCCAGTCACATCTTCAACTCGAGTTCTCCACTTCTCCACACAGGAGGAGCCTGTGGCGAAAGCAGCGGTGTGGGGGCTTGGACGGATGCTTTAGGAGGCCAACAAGAAGCACCATATGGAACGCACTTTCAACATCCCACGTAGCATCCTCCAGTGGCTGGTGGCTGGTGACCATTTCGCTGCTCCCCTTAGCTTGCTTTGGGTCCACTTCGTGCACTTGACGTGGACTTCATGGAGCAACATCTGCGTGAATCTCCCCATCCCAAGCAAGCTTTTGGGGGAGAACGAGGGTGGTACAACTAGCCATGGGAGTTCGACAGGTTCTCTTCTTCGACCAATTGGGTCCACCCGTTTGGACTTTGAAATCAAGCGCAAACGATACATGTGTGTGTTCTTGAGAAGGTCTGATCTGTTTGATCTGTTCATCTTGGCAAGACCACAGTGTTCAATCACCCGAGCCATGTGTCCTTCGACATCTGTTTTTTTAAGCACCCACACTTGCAAACAAGCAGCTCTCTTGTTGGATGTGAGATGCAGAACAGTCAAGTGGTAGACTGTAGACTCCTTTTGTGGGATTCACCCATCTCGATGGGCCCCTTCTCTTTCGTGACATCATTGGACGGGAGGGAGCCCCTATACAACGGAGGGGGCATGTCTTGATGGCACAGATTGGTCGGAATCAGAAAGCAGCCAGCGTACGGGGCTCCATCCGGTTTGCGGAGCCGTTTTCAGAGAACCTGGTGCCTTGATGTGAGGTTTCGCTTGCTCACCCTACAGGTCTTGCGGACCTTCTTTGACTGGGTCTGGGAAAATGCAAAAACCAGTAGGTTTAATGCCAGGCCCGACTGGACTTGTAGGGCGGACTTGATGGGCAAGAAGACCCCCACTAATCGTGATGGGCTCAGGTGTGAGGAAATTGGGGGCAGGTGATGATGAATAGCTGCCTCTGCTCCGTTGAGGCCAAGAAGAAGAAGAGTGTCTTGCCTCAACGCGACAGCTTTCGTTGGACGGCAAAAGCCGGCGAGAAACGAACGAACGCGCCGGTCGTCCGGTCGAGTGGAGACGACACCTGCGGTGAGGGAGGCGACACCTGTGGTCCGGGACGGAGAAAGTCTCCAGAGCAGAGGAGGGGTTTCTACCAAAATTGCACCGAAAAAGCGACGGTTTTGGAGGGATTTCGGCCAAGAGAGCGCACCAGGTTCAGCCTACCCTGGTGAGCCATGAGCCTATCCTGTGGTTTTGGTCACACGACCACACTGTGCTGTGAACTCAGGTGCTCCTGGCGGTTGGGGACTCCCAGTCGGAGTGGGAGCTAGCGAGCGAGCGACCTTCGGTGGGAACCTAGAAGTTCGAAACATCATTTTTATTGAATGCATCATATATGCTGGGAGTCAAGACTAGGTGACCGGAAAAGGAATATGCTTTACTTCAGTGGGGCAAAATATAGTCTTTGGACTTCTAGGGTATATCTACCAATTAGATGTGGGGGTACCAACAATCATTGCCTCACTGGTCTGAATCCCAAACAACCATGTGTTTTACTAAGGATCTTACACGACAAGAACTAGATCACCCCCCGACTGCGGAAGGATGGTGGCCGGCGGGACACGCCTGGTTTGGACACGAAACGCCCGTGAAGCGTGCGGGGGTCTAGATGGACCCGGCCGAAAACGGCGAAGAACCTAACCAGTGTGGTCCCTCTCCCTCTCCCAAACCTTCTCCCTGTCACTGCGTCTGAGGCGAGCCTGGCAGAAGGGACCAGGCGCCCTTCAGGGCGGCCTTTTGTGTCGGACGCGGATGCCGCGGGACACGGGGGGGGCCGGCCTCACCCCAAAACCCACGTTGGGAGTGATGGTGTATCTTGCTCTTGCCCGGTGTCCATGTTTGGGGCGCTTTGACTTCAAGGTCGCAGGTGGTGACCTGTTGGAGGGTGCTGTTCCGTGGTGTTGGTTGTTCGAACATTGAGATTCTGTACGTATATACCAATTGTTTCTGGTTGGGACTGCATTTCCAGGAAGGTCTTCAGTGTTTTTCACTGCGAGTGGCGCCACCTAGACTCCTCCTAGACTCCTCCCTTACAGCGCGACAGGGCGACAGCCTGGCTCGAGATCACTCGAGTAGACCACGAAATCCATGACATGTGACCTTACCATGACTTACCCTGGCGAGTCCAGTCGACTCAAAAGAATGTGACTTGACACCACCAAAGGGGTGATTCGTCGGAAGGAGTGCAGGTGGGACGAGCCGTCCAACCCTTTTGTCCAGGCACGGCGTTCGCCGCCGTCCTTCGTTGAGGATGTGGCCGCCCGTCCGTGGATGGTGTTTTTTCGTTTTTTTTTCCGCGCCCCGTTCGCGGTGGGGGCGTCTGGGGCGAGAGTCGCCCCACCGGTCGGGGCGTCAGAGGTTTTGTCTCAAGGGCTCTTGTGTTCTGTGCCGTCGACTCCTTTGAAGGGTACTAATACCAGGACCTTCCGACAGGTCACCTGCGACTTGAAAAAGTCCACAAAAGCCGACCTCTTGGATTTGGTGCTGGTCGGTGATGCGATGTCCGGTTGTCCGGTTTCCACCGAATCGCGGCTTTGAGCGCTGGAATAGAAGAGCTGTCGATGCCGACTTCGATGTGGCCTGAATTGGATGAACTACCTAGCGCTTCCTGTCTGGGTGTCTGGTGATCTATTTACGCACTTTAGGGTTGTCCAGGACGGTCACCCCGAACGGAAGCAGCTGGTATTGGACTCGTCCAGAGGTGGAATGGTCGGACTTGGTCCCACCCTCGTCCGCACCGCTGCCGTCCCGGTGGGCCACAGCCCAGAAGTTGGTGTGGACTTGCTAGAAGTGGTCTGCGTGGTCGAAAGCTGCAGGCCCTAGACTTCCGTTCGACCATGAAAAAACATGGGAACGACCTGGTTTTGGTCAAATCCCTATCCCGGTGATTTTGGGATGACCCGCCTATTCAATTCATGGGCCAGGAAGCCGTGCGGGAAGATCAGTGTGGTTTGGGTTGGTTCCTCCCCAAATCCTCCCCCGCTGCCGAAGGAACGAACCGCTCATGACGTGCTTGGTCCCTGGTCGGTCGAGAACTCCGGTCGACGTCGTGTCCGAGAACTCGGGTCGGAGAACGTGTCGGAGAACTCGGGTCGGAGAACGTGTCGTCAGGACCTTCCCAGTGACCGTCCACTTGAGATCCCAGAATGAGGTCACGAAACGGCCTTGAAAAGATCACTGAGAAGGTCCTGGTAGAGTGTGTTTGTTGGGCATGTGGGCGGGGAACTGGGTGGTCATGAGTGTGGAGTTCTGGCCTGCATGTTGGCGTGATCCTTGTAAATAGGTTTGTTGCTGAACCCACGCTATGGCGATGACGAGGATCACCGTAGATGTGGGCTGAGTGATTCATTTCCGACAGACGCGGTCACATGCACACCTCGTCCCTATCGAAGTCCAGTTCATCGACCGTGCCTTTTTGGCGCCGAAGGTGGGTGTCAGGCCAACACCCTGTCCATGTGGAACACCGGATGAAAGAAGAGCATCGATGTGTACGACGACATAACTTGACCAAACATCCACCCCTGGAACCCCAGTCCCGAACAGAAAGAAGTCTGGTTGTTCCAATATGGCGCCAGCTTGAAATCCTTTACATAGGAAATGGCTGGGATTGAGGAGTTCCATCCATTTCTTTCTGGTTGGGACTGGGGTTCCAGGCGATGTTTTTCTGCGTGATGTCTTCTCTTTGGCGACCAAGACCCCGACCCCTAGCGGGTCTGACAATAAGAGGAACAAGAAGGTCAAGAAGGTCTAAGTGAAACTAAGGGGTCTGAAGAAGTCGGAGGAACGAACCCAAACGACACGAACCTCTAGTTCCGTCAGTCTGATCGGTGTTCTAGTCCGGTCCGTCCGGTCTCCCGGTCGCCCCGGTCTTCGGCCACCGGAGTCCCGGTTCGGCCCGGTCTGGAGCGGTGCTGTTGAGACACAAGAGCAAACCCTGGAAGTCAAGTCGACCATTTTTCGGAACGATCTGGTTTTGTAGTGTAAAACCCTTAGTAAAACAATGGTGGGGACCGGGAAGGGCTATTTAAAAAAAGGGTGGTTCGACTTCTAGGGCAAAGGAAACAAACACACCAGGGCCTCCTGCTTGGGGTGTCCAATCATAGCTCCACTCGGAGGTGAATGGGTGTCTATGAAGCACCCCCAACGGTTTGGGGCCCTGGATGGCCCTGGTAACATACGGCAGTGATTTCCTCTCAACTTGATTCATTTGATGGGGTAAAACACCTGGACACGTAATGTCAAGAGAAGTAGACCTCACGATCAGTAGACCTGGTCGGAAGGGTTTGACTCGTCCGAGTGGATGTGGCCAAGGCACCCAGTTTCCCTAGCCTTCCTGGCCCACCATGAATTGAATAGGCTGAATCCCGAATCTAAGGATTTTAGACTACAAAAACCAGGTCGTTCCCATGTTTTTTTCATGGTCGAACGGAAGTCGAACGAGTTAGGCACCTCGTGTCTGACACGAGGCTGGAATTCTCCCCTCCCAGAGGCCGAACCCGGCCCTGGTGCAGTTCACCCGGACCGCGAAGGGGTTGGGTCCTGATAGTGGGCCTTTGGAACTGGGAGTCCAAGATCATAACCCTCAAACGGACCAGGACCTTCGGTGCCCTGGCTGGTTTCAACCCAGCACCACCAGCCAGGAACCTCTAGCCAGGACACCCCCTTTTTCAGGTCCAGAGATGCTCTGACTGCATCAAACGGCTGAGGAACGGATGCTCTCCCGGCCCACCATCTCCACCTCGAAGTCAGCGCAGGTTCGTGTTTTTCGTCCCCAAAGCCGTGCACGCGCGTGGAGCGTGGGGGGGGGGCCCGGGCGCAAGGATCAAGAACAGACGTTGTACCATGAAACCCAAACTGACCAATGCTGTTCTTATAGAATCTTATAGAAATGGATTCATTTCAGAGTTCCTTCTCAGACGGAAACCAACTTCGGCTCTTCAGCTTCTGCTGGCTAAGTCACTTCACCCCAGGAGGTGGTCGGGAGATCTTCCATCGCGCGGAGCCCGAGCTCCGCGCCGCTCCGCGTTCCGACTTGCGACTGGCCTGGGCGCCGAACCGCGCGTGTCCGGTGATCGCAACGGCGACCAGGTCAGCAATCCAGAGAACCCTGGGTCAGAAGCAGGGCAGGCGCGACTGGCCGAAGGTGTGGGAACATGCTCCCAAGGTGTGGGGTGAAGGGGGTGGATGGACACGGAAGTTTGTTTGGTCCCGCAGGGGTCCCACGCCAAGTCCCTAAAGGGAACGAAGGGAAGTGGACAATCAATGAACAACTGGGAAACCATCTTCCTCATATGGTCGACCTACATGACAGGTGCTTCTTTCCAACATGACTTCTCCGAGTACTCCTCCAGGGATTTTCGGGGGGCCGAAGATTGGGTTTCCCAGCTTCTTCCGTACGTGATCTTTTTGATGTGACTGTTTGCGTTCGGCCTGATCGTGCCCGATCACTTTAAAAGAACCAAGTCCTTTTTCATTCCTTTTTCCAACAGGGCTGGAGAGGCTCGCGCCACACGAAATTTGCTCGCGCTCGTTTTCAAGCAACTGTCTATGTTCGCGTTCGGGTGGGGTCGTGCCAGGAAGGAAAGCTGGAGAGGACCTTCACCACCATCATGGAAGAGGCCCCCGGGTGACGGCGGGGGTTGGGTTTGGGCCCGCGGAGGCTGAAAGACCTGTGTCTGTTTGGAGCAGCAGCCAGGTGCCCGAGCTTTTCGATCCTTTGACAGGGTGGGGTGAGCGATGTTGGACCCGTGTTTGGAGCGTCGCCGACCAGTCGGAGAGGTTGAGAGGTCGCTTCACGTTCGGACCCGACCAGTCTGTGGTACAGGATGGGCGACCGACCTGGGCTGTTCAAATCTGTTCAACCCAGACGCTCCAAACAGCCCTTGGTCCCTCAAAACCATAGGGATTTGAGGGTCCGGGCCCCTCCATACTTTGGAAAGCCAGACATCAGCCGTGCGTCACGTCGATTCGGTTTGTCGCCGGAACGGACGTGTTCTCCGCTCCCGGCTCGGCGGAACGGAAGCGCCTGACGAAGGGAGGGCGCGAGGACCGGCATGTTCTGATCTTCAAAAAGTCGTTGTGAGGATCAGCCGTTTTTTTCTTTTTTTTGTTTCTCGAAGTGAGGAATGATTGGACCTTCCACCTGTCAACGGACGAGACTGCATGTTGAACGCACTAGCCCTGCGAGTCCAGTCGACTTTCCAAAAGCAGGTCGTGAGTTTGGGAGCTTCGGTCGACTACCTTCAGCGAAAGACGGGGTCGGAGGCCTCCCAAAAATGACCGGGGTCGGTTTTGCCTCCTTGGTGAAGCAAAACCCTTGCCCTGGGAGTCAAAGACTCTAAAAAGAATGGTCTTTAAGGGAACTGAAAGGGAACTTCCTTTACTTCAGCCGGTCAAGACATCTCGTCGAACTGGACTTCAGCCGGGCTTGGTTTTGCTTCAGGTCCGGCTCCGTACCGGTTGTGGAGATCCCAACCAGACCTCCGGGGGGTGGTTCTCACCGGTGTTCTTCGCCGGACCTCCGAAGGCCTTCCTCGTCTTCGGTCGTGTTGCACGCCGTCAAACCGCTGGTCACCGTGTGAAGACGTCTGAATCCCAAAGCCAGATCTTTATACACCCGCTGGAACCCCAGTCCCAACCAGAAAGAAGTCTGGTTGTTCCAATATGGCGCCTGCTTGAAATCCTTTACAAATGGTTGGGACTGGGGAAACATCCATTTCTTTCTGGTTGGGACTGGGGTTCCAGGCCATTCCATTTTGTCATACGGAAGCTGCAGGGGTATGGTTCAGTGCGGGATGGAACTCTGGAATGCTGCCAGATGGACTCTGAGATCATGGCCTTGGATGATGACATTCACAAAGAGAGGCACGGGCGACCGTTCGTCGTTCCCTGCAGCTGAACATGGACATATATTTGGAGCCTTGCGTTGAACGGAGAACCCGGCCTGCTTGCGGCTTGTTAGTGATGGCGGGGGGAGTTCAAAGGGAGGTTTCGGCCCCGCTGCCTGCCTACCATGAAACCCTTCGCCCGGTGGACTAGCCTCGAAGGCTAGTCCATTGGACAACTCGTGGTGTCGGTCCTGGTGGTGTTGGTCGCACCAGCGAGCAGCCAGCCACACAGCGGTTAGCCGTCGCTACCCCAAAAGGACCCCGAAAGGACGTCGTTGACTAAAGGTGTTGTCGTCAAACTTCCTCAGGTTTAACAGCAAGCTGTTTTTGTTTTCAGACCAGAGTGAAGACCAGTGAAGCCATTGCAATCCCAACGAACCACGACTTGGAAGTAAAGGCGCCGGTGATTTTCCACGCTTTCTCCGGGTCCCAACCCCTGTTTTACGGATCTTGGACGCCACGAAACCAGGTCGTTCCCCTTTGAAAGGCATGGTCCGAGTCGCACGGGCTCGGAGTCGGAGGCCCACCCGGCCACCCGTGGCGCGAAAAGAGAGGCGCCCTCCCCGCCCAACAGCGGCAGGTGAACCCACCTCCGGTGGGTTCAAGAGTCTGACATCGACGTGCCAGTATCACCAGCCTCCCCGCCCAGCAGCGTAAGGGCAGTTATCTAGGGTGGTTTATAGGTCACCAATAGAAGCACCGATCCTATAGGTGTATATGTCTATCCAATCAGCTTTTTCCGTTGCTTCTTTACCTCTGCGTGGTGGCCGTGTTTGGTCTTCTTTGCCTCCGTCGTCACGGTGGGGGGGGCGCCGAGCAGCCACCGCGCCGCGCCTGGAGGCCCTCTGCGCCGAGTGCTGGGATTGGGCTGCTGTGCTTCTTGCAGGGCAACGCGTGCTGGAGCAGCTCCGGAGGCGGCGGTGCCGGGTGGTGGGGGGGCACTGAGCGATGGGAGCAGTGGGTGGTGCGGTTGGATGAGATCTGTTGACCTGTGGAGTTGGTGCGGTGGAAGACCGATGACCGGGACTGTGGGTGTGTCTGGGACTGTGTGGAGGTGTGCAAACTTTGTTGACCTCCCAACCAGGTGAACGAAAATCGCTAATTTTCTCGTTGACCACGGTTGACCTCCCAGCAAAGAACATGGAGGACTGGTGTCAACCTACCATGGGTTTTCTAGTGCCCTGGGGCTCCAGCCGTATCCTTAGAGGGTGGTTAGACACCCCTGGCACCCAACCTAACCATCTTCTCAGGAGGTATGACTGGAGCCCCCAGGGGTGTGTGGTTTTCGCCCTCATTCCTGGGTCCTTTGTGACCCAGCGTGAAGTCACTGATGAGAACTACCCGGTCAACTTCCTCCCAGAATCCTGAGCCCACTTAGAATCGGTCGTCACGGTAGTTCAAATGAGTTTGTAAGTCTTTTATTTCTGGAGACCGACCCAACCGAAGTCAGGGGGTTGTTGGGAGGTCTCCCTACGCTTCCAATCAAAGGCTTCTTTTGAAGATGTCCTAATTACTTCTGTTTGGGTGAGCGTCATTGGCAAATCTTGAGTTCATCACTCTCATGTGACTTAACACCTTTTGCAAGAGAGCCCACCACCCAACACGTGGCCCATCACCCAACACGTGGTTTCATCATAGTTTCATCTACCAGGTCACCACCTACGACTTTTAAGTCTACAAAAGCCTCCATTTCGGAGACCTGTTGGTTTCGGTGCTGGTAGTCATGTGGCTTGCTTCAGGCCACATGGTCCAATCGGAACAGCAGCACAACCAACCCATGCTATACCACGACATGTCGAGCTCACAGCTGATCACGCCCACGGCCAACCGCCACACGCCACCGTCGAGCTCAGAGGCTCCCATGGGGGGCTACAGCCAATCGCGAAGGTCGTTGGGACTCTCAGGGGACGAAGTGGTAGCTCCTGTGGCTCCTAGGAATGGCTCCGCTCTTGGGTTCACAGGGTGTTGGGTGTTGGCAAATCACAGTGACGTCCTGTACTTCCTAGCTCAAGGATCAAAAAAAAGGGGCGTGTAGCCGTGTAGCCTGGCCTGATCAGGCTGTGGCTCCTAGGACTATGTACTCCAACTGAGGGATCACATCTGTTGGGCTCGGCGTCACCGTCCTCATGAACTCGGCGGACACACCGGATTGTTGCAGGGCTGCCCCAAAAACGCGTATACGTGTAGATCTCCAAACGGTCCAGGGAGGGAGGTGTCCGGCCCGGTAGATCAGCTGCTTGGATTTTGGGTGAGTTTGGGGAGGACCCTGGGTCCTTCGTCCGGGTTTTTTTGGGGGTCTTAACCGAACTGCCACCCCCCAGGACGTTGCCCCCTCAGATCTTGATACACCCGACGATCCGCTTTCGGGCGGTCTGGAGACCTTTGACGATCCGTTCGGGGGTGCGATGCTGCGATCGCGTGTTGGGTCGGTCGGCCGTGGTGGTCCTCCTCCGGCCGCACGATGAAGCACAGCGTTGTCAGGATCGGGGGGGTCTCGTGCGGAGGGGGAGACCTGGGGCAGTTGAGGGGTGCTGAAGGGGGTGCTGAAGATGTCATCCTTTCCAGTCCCCAGTACTGTCGTGCGGGTGGTGTTTGGGATGGGAATTGCATTAGGTTTTCATTCAAATCCTGGGTCCCCAGCACCGGTGACCGATGAGAACTCGGGTCACCCAACCCGAGAACACCCAGATGACCGAGTTCGGCGGCCCAAACGCACCGCCGCACCGGCGCTGTTCGTCCTTTGGTCCGACGACACCGGCCCGAACGTCAGACACCGGTTCCGGCGATGTCAGGCCCAAATCAGGCCAAACGGAAGGACCAGAGGTTTGGGGGTTGGAAAATTTTTTTCGTGTTCGCCAAAAGTGCGCGCCAGCCAATTCAATGGCTTCCACCATCGTCGCTGGCGTCGCTGGACCAAGCAGGCTGCCTGCTTTGGTGGTCACCCATAGCCATAGCCCCCCCCCCGACCCGTCTGAGGCCTAGCTGGGCCTGTCCGGTGGAACACATCGGGTCGAGTGAGAGAGAAGGCAGCGCACCGCAGCGGTCCCAAGAAAGGACGCCACGGAATCCATGTTGCTCCCAAAGACCTCCTTGAAGAAGGGAAATAGACCAAACATGGAGCAAAACCTCACTGGTTGGGGTTCTCCCTAAGAAAAACAACATGTAACACAATGTACTTGAAACCTCTGTTGGGAATGAGTACCCAGTGCCAGTGCGCGAAGAGCTGCCTTTTGGGGGGTTCAGGGCTCGAAGATCCGTCGTTACCCGAGTTCTGTCCACATGAGACATGCCTGGAACCCCAGTCCCCACCAGAAAGAAGTCTGCTTGTTCCAATATGGCGCCAGCTTGAAATCCTTTGCAAATGGTTGGGACTGGGGAGTTCCATCCATTTCTTTCTGGTTGGGACTGGGGTTCCAGGTGGTTGTGCATGGACGAATGTCGACTAATCAGACACACTTCGAAGGATGTTCCACAGAAAACGGGTCGAACGTCGGGTCGTTCTCTGGTCCAGTCGCACCCACCGCAGGTCCGGTGGTGGGGTGGGGTAACGTGTTGAACGAGCGCCGGCGCTTGGCTTGGGACCGTGGCTTTTGCGACATTTCTTCACCTCGAAGGAAGGTTTCCGAGAGAACTGGTTGCGGTTTAGCTCAAGCTTGAAGCATGGCACGTGTAGGGTGTGAGGTTGAAGATGTTCATTTTTAGGAGCAGAATCAAGTGTGAAGGATTCTGAAGAAACATGCGATCGTCACTCTGAGATCCATTTTTTCTGAAATAGAGTCATTTCAGTTCTTTCTTTTGTATCTGCTACGGCGATGCTGGCATTTCTTTCCACTTGGGCTACTACGGCGATGACTGGTGGTGATGGGTCTCGGTCGACCTTTCGATCTCCGTAGATTTGGATGACCTTTGTTTGTGGCTCAGAACAGGAAGACCTCCCAGGCGTTCCGACCCCCTAGAAGCTTCGTGGAAAAAAGACACAGTCTACCCAGCCTTTCAAGGCGCGTTCTCCCCGTTGAAGTACACACCCAAGTCGCAAAATCTAGGCTTGAGATCTTCAAAGTGACCTTCTGATAACCTGGTTGGTTCGGTCACAAAAAAAGCCTCCAGACTTCGGTCGGGTCATGAAAAGGAGCCTTCAAAAGGTCACGAACTGAAGAAGCGGCTTGAAATGTTCACTTGGGTGAAAGAACTTCAGCACCAGCTGGGCCGATCGCCAAACATCCTGACCGATCGCCAAGCACGCACGCACCTGGGGGGGCACACCGGTCTGACTGACCAGTTGGGTGTTGAGCTTCACCACTTGGTGTGTCTTCCAACACACACGGCACAATGTCTCAAAAGCTGCACTCAGTCAGTGGTCACTCTCGAGAGGTCCTTTTCTTTTGTTTCCCCATTCCAGCACCTGCGAAGGTTTCTTCTGCGAAGAAAAGCTACCAGCTTCATCTTCCCTATCATCACCTTCATGACGTCCTCCTCCTCCTCCTCCTCATCAAGTGCTAAGAGTCTTAGGCCGCCCAACCGACACGTCTGCGTTCGATCCCCCTCCGACCGTCCTCCGATCCCCGTCCGACCGACCACCTCCGACAACCATGACACGTCCGAGGATCCCCGTGACACCGATGTCCGACCATCGATGGATGCGACCCGTGCAGATCCGCAAAAACGGTCCGAGCAATGGAGAGGAGAGGCGTGGTAGTGGTAGTATGTGGTAGTGGTAGGAGCAGTAGAAGTAGAAGAAGAAGAAGAAGTAGAAGTAGTAGGAGGAGGCTGGAGGATTAGGACCAGAAGTATTAGTGGGACTAGCCTTTTCGGACGTCTCTCCAATCAATCTGAATTGTCACGAGCACTGGTTCTCTCACAGAAGCTTTGGCTTTGGGGTATGTTTTAATTCGCTTGTCGCTGGTGTAGTATTGCCGGGGTGATCCTGACTGCATCCGCCAAAGGCCACCGCAAGCTTCGGGGATCATGAGGCCACCAATAAGTCCCCCTTCACGGATGTGATAAGAAGGCCTACTAGGGGCCTTCTTAGGCCTAGCTGGTTCTGTTGGCCTAGGTGGCAAGAGAGAGAGACAGACATGTGTGATGTTGGACACCCCGGCCCCTCTCGATGCCAAAGAAGGCAAGGACCTGCTTCTTGGCAGCTTCCCGTTGGGGAAATTCTCGAGCCAGTGAAATGATATCGACCATTCCCACCAGGGGTGAACCAGCACCGATGGCGAGGGCTTGTTCTTCTTCCGCGAAAGAGTCAGCTCGAACATCGAGTTTCGGGGGAGCGTTGTCTTTCTGCATCGTCTCCGAACGAGGCCATGAATCATATGCCGTACGTGGAGCCCGCAGTATGTGGATGGCTTGAACTCGTGAATTGTGGTCATGAACTCGTGTCTCCATGGCCAAACCTGGAAAGTGTCTCCTTCTCGCGGTAAATGCCGGGGCTTTGCCGCCCTGCTTCTGCCGCGTGGCCATTGCAACCATCGGTGTCCTCCCTTGGATTTCCAGCCTCGATGTCTCCTCCGCAGATGCGGCGGACTCGGGTAAGGCGGTCTCACCAAGAAGCGCGTGAATCAGAGGAGGGCGGTTCTTCAGAAAAAGGACCAGGGAGGCGTGAAAGAAGCGGAGCTCGGTGCAGGGGCGTGGGGGTGATCGTTTGCGTGAGACTTCACTCGAAGATAAGGGAACAGCCGGGAACAACTCGTCTTCTGGTCCTTTACCTTCCTTATCATCCCCTTCAGTCGAACGAAGGGGAAGATCCGCGGAGTGTCTTTCTTGCGAACGCAGAAAAGCCCCTGGGAGTCCAGTCGACTATCAAAGAACGGTCTGAGGAGTTCGGGGACCAGGTCGTTTGGCAGCTTGCCGGTCATTAGTCGAACTGGACTTCGAACTCGGGTGCCTCGCGAACAGCGAACGAGGGAGACACCTGAACGAGCGAGGATCTTCTTCCAGAAACCCTACAGCACCCTGGCAACGAGACCTTGAAACATAAGTCATCCTAGGGTGGTTTTGAGGTGGGTTTGTCTGCACTTTTCGTCCAGCGCCGACTGAACCACCGCACCGACTGGACATCGGGATCGAACGGTTGGATGGCGGAACTTCACTTGAACCTGGTTCTTCAAAGTGACCGAACTTGATAACCTGGTTGGTTAGGTTACTGCTTGTCCAAGGTCACTTGGGGAATCTTCAAAAGGTCACTGGGAAGGTCCTGGAATAGTCTTTTTGTTTTTTTTGGACCACCGGCCCTCAAGGAAACCCGAAACCCTAAAGCCTTGGAACGGTGAAGCTCGCCGCAGAACCGCAGAACAGCCTTGGGGGGGGTGCGGAGGCTCAAAAGAAGAGGAAAAGGGCTTCTTCCTGGAACCAAGCTCGGACCCCCCTATAAGTGAGTGTGTGATATGTTGTAATGACTTCGACCTCAATTTCATCATTTCTTTTGTTTTCTTTGTGACTTCGACTCCCACTGCAACGGCCTCGATCCTCCCTTTTTCGAGCGTTCCCGGTGACGCGGTGACGCGGTGACGGCACGGAGCGAGCGTGAAGCGTGAGCGTCTCGCTCGGGTGAGTTCGAGCGCGCTGGTCAGCGCTGCAAGTCTTGGAACAGATAGAACATGCCATGTGATCCATGCTGTTGGAGTTGTATGGATCCAAGTGTTTCTAAATGACTGAGCAAAGGCATGAAAGAATGTGGAGAATTTTGACGATGCCATAAAGCGGTGAAGAATGCAATCTAGATGCACCATGAGGGGCACCGTGAGTTCGTTTGCACCAGACGCACCAGTCAGAGGCGAAGGAAACCAACAACAGCAAACCAACAGCAAACAACAGCAACCACAACCCGTGGCCGGCACTTTGAAGTAGGTCGAATCAGATAGAAACTCCCTAGCCAATCCTACAGTCCACGCAACAGTGGCTTTTGGCATCTTTTGGCCCCGCCACTTCGTCCCGATGCCGAAGATCGTCACGTCGAAGCGCTTGCCGGTTTACACTAACAAGGGCCAAAAGGAGAGCCGTTCCGTCTCGCGGTGCGCGGGCGGTGCCGGTGTCCGTGGTCGATGTGGGTCGTCGACCGGAAGGTGTGGGTCTCCAGCGACAGGAGTCATTTGGGTAGTTCTGACCAAGACGAGTCGACGGTGAAGCTGGGCGGGTCACGACCCGCCCGCCTTTGGTACTTCGATGTCTCGAAGCCTGGGCGTTTGGATGATGGAAGCGGTTTCAGTCCTGTTTTTGCTTGTGCTTCAGACAGGGACCGTACAGACATATACAGACTTGGGCTCCTTCTGTCTCAAGGACCAAATGCGGCGTGGTGTGCCTTTTCAAGACATCCATGAGGTCTACATTTAGCTGGATCCTCCAATGATGCAAGAGTTCCTCCTTCTCATCCATAGAACCAGCCAGAAGGCATGCATAGTTGGAAGACCCAGGTACCACGAGCTGCAGAGCAATCTTCTCAGATGTGAGTGGGATTTGAAGCCCAAACACTTTGCCCGGCCTCGAAGTCGTCCCCCGTTTCACTCAGTCCCGTGCGACGAGTCCTTTTGGACCGAACTCATTAGACCCGGTGGGTCAGACGTGTGAGGTCATACCAGCGTTGGAAGATGGGCACCAGACTATTGGGCACCCCGTTTTCAGGAAGATGACAACTTCAATGCCTTCCACTGTAAGAGGCGAGGCGGCATGGATTCTAGCTGGTTTCGAGACTTCGGCATGAATTCTATTGGTGGAGAGTGGGTTCTTGGTTGTGCCCAAGTTTTTTGGTGCCAGATCCGCCCCCAAAAGCACCATCCAGTGTAGTGATATTCCTTCTGGTAGGTTGACACCTTCTAGAGGAAGTGGTTCATTTGACCTGGGGGTCAACCAGGGGTTTCCCGAGCTTGGACACTTAGTCACAGGGTGCCTAGTGAGGCCTGCCCCTTGGATCCGTCCTTTGGATCCACGACACGACCACTTTCGGCGACAGTCCTCCAGCACGGCGATGGCCGGAGCAGCCTCAAAGATGTCGTGGTCCTTGACAACAGAGAAACCACCTGCTATTGACATCGGGTCTGCACACCTCTGATTCTTGATACGACTTGAGTCGCATCCGATCCTCCCCAGACTT